TTGGCTGTTAAAGTGTTCTTGGAACTGTGGTTCCAGATCATTGTATTCAGCGCTAGTCATTTTATTGTATATTGTCTTTTAACTAAGACCATTTTTCGTAATTTCATTGAGCTATGTAGTAGGACAAATATGCCGGATGAATATACTGTGAGTTAAAATTATGAAATGGATTAATATACGCACTAATATATGGATTATTTTAGTGCATTATTTTGAAGAATTTGACTGCATAATGCATACAGATTCTGCGTAGTAAGTATGTAGGCGTACGTAAAGTTCCTTGAATTTTACAATATAATTATTATCTATGTGCAGTATTATCAATTTCGTTTTTAAACTCTGAACAGGATGTTATTTGCAACTTTCCGCCAGCTAATTTGCCGTTTCCTCTTGAGGATCACATAATGAATTATTGCTCCTCGGGCACCAGGTTGTACAGAAAACCGTGCCGGTCGAAACAAACAGCACTCCCGGTAACTATGTGAACGACTGTATTCAAGATGCGAAGAGAAGAATCAAAAATCGCGTTCGCACATTATGTTAACAGTATTTCAGCCTTGTTATCACCATCACCGTATTCGCTTCCCGTGTTCGAACATTCCTCCAACGCAGCCTCTCGGACATCGTAACGGGCACGCGTGTTCCCGAGCGCCGCGATTGGCGTGGTCCCGTACTCGCTTTATCGGGCACGCGTAGCAGACCTGCACGCAACGCGGCGCGGCGGGCGAGCGGCCCTGCAGGAGCGCAGGAAGCAGAACCCGCGATGCCGCGGGCGAACGGCTGGGAACCGCCCGCGGGCGAGGCTTCTCGCCCCCCCCGCGCCGCCCGCCCCGCCCGCCCCTGCGCCGACGTGCCTCGCGCCGCCATCCGGTGGGCACGAAGGCGCCGGCCGACGACCTCGCCGCGGCCACTGCGCGGACCCCTGAGGAAGGTTGCTGGCAGAGCACAGCGCAGCGCGGCTCAGGGAAACCTTACGGCGCCATCGGAGAGCTACCTGACGAAGTACCCGTTTAGGTGGCTCAGAGCATCAAATAATGCCACTGCTGGTACGTGGTTGTCCGCCACAGGTGTCAACGTGTCGGCTGCCATTCTGCGACCTTCATCAGGGCAAATTGCGGGGACATGGTCAGCGTACGAATTAAGTACAGGGCTAGGTTTTCCTCCACCCGTCAAACGGTTTGCCCTGAGGAAGGTCGTCGATGGTGAACGAAACGTTGCCACCAGTGCCCAGGACGTGGCGCCTCCCAAACAGTCAAGTAGCTACTGATTCTGGCCGCGGAAGCCCACGCTCTAATATCACTGCAGTTCCTCTGAGCGGGAGGCCCTGGGATTCACGTCCCGACTGTTGCAGACTTTCTACACTAGCTACCTTGATCGGTCGAGTCCAGCCGCTGTGTGAGGAAAAGTTCTAGTGGCTCAGATCGGTACTTTTCCGAGGTTTCTCCGTTTAACACCAGGCGGAGCAGTACCTTAAAAACGAGTTATGAACCGCGCACTATATTTCCTTTCTCTTCCTTATCCTATCCTCACGTCCTACACACTCTTACATGCACTTCAGTACCATACATGTCGGGAGCTTGCAGCTAGTCTCGGCTTGGGTGCTCTCCTGCTGCCTGAAGATACCTGGTTGGGAAAAGCTCGCAAATTCACGTGTATTCAAATGTCACGTCGGCGCCGGTTCTCGCCATTCAGCGGGGAAATCACCGTCACCTCCCGAGATAAAACACAGTACACTTACGATACTAATGATCAGAGCAGTTGACGCGCCCGGGAACAGGGAAAAAGCAAGCAATCAATACACACCGAAGTGAAATGAGCAATGAACGAACTCGTTACTCTTAAAAATTATCTGTTGAAGTTGTAAATATAGTATAAAGCAGAGATTAGGGACAAAATTGATACTACCATGCCATATAATTGGCGATAATTATGTATAGTGATAGAATATTCACAAACATATAGCTCTCAATCTGTTAACATATAGTCCACTATTTGTACTCGCACGGCCTATCGTAGTTTATTTCAGAAAGTATGTTGTTGACAGTTCAATAATTTATTAATTCAATAAATAACACTGGTGTGACAGTACAGATTTTATATTTGTACTAAATGTTTTGGATTGTATAGAGAGCATCTTCCTGAGGTCAACATTTGCGACATGCATCTTATTTAGACGCCAATTATTTGTTTCTAGCACCCTTTGTAATCTTTATCTGGAGTACTGACAAAGTTTACGGATTTGTAAAAGGCACCACAATTCAGTCATTTTTGTTGGTATCCACGTTTTCCATTCGTATATCTTATAAATCATGTTTGGAGTCTTCATTGTTGAAAAGGGTAAAATGTTATTTGTCCGAGAATACGCATCTTCAATCATTCTCAAGCCCAAGAAATTAATTAAAAATAATGTTTTCAGGATGAATAAGTCTGACTCATTAATAAAAACTATTCCTTCTAGGACGTTTATAATTTGTCTCCAAGGAAAAGGAAACAAAGTATAATTTCTAATTATAATATTTTTGTAGGATAAAAACAACAGAATAGATATTGATTCAGTAATTTCTATTTCCGCGCAAACAATTAAAAATGTAAATTTTATACATTTAAAATGTACTTTATATACCTCATAAAAATCAGGTGCAACAAATATTATCAACAAATGTACTTTGTATTCCTTAGATCAAAATACAATCACATTTTTGTTATTATTGGTTGCGAATAACATTAAATACTAACATCTCAAATACATAATTATTCCAGATTACAATTTTTAGTGATGACTAAAATATTGCATGTTCCAGCTCTTAATACGTTAACATGTTATCAAATACATAATGAACTGCACATTCTCTACTATATATTTCTAATATACTAGATGACTTCATTTTCTACTGACACATTCCTAACACTAAAAGGGCATTGCTGTGATTCAGAGATCGTACACTGCTGTTAAGATTTCCCCAACTATCAACTGTTCATGCAATCCACAACGACCTTTCTGAATACAAACGAGCTATGCATCTTTCCATTCACAACGCGATGTCGAGGACGACTTGTCTTCTTCGTCTTGTGCATTTCACTTCCTTTGTTGGACTATTTCTTTTTGAATTTTTAAAACTTTAATAGATTATTTACCTATATATAAATATACCTATATATACCAATATACCTATTTCTGTATTCACTGTCGGCATATATTATTTGAAAAAAATCCTATACATGAAAAATAGAGAAAGAGAATATTGGATGACAAATGGGAGATAATAAAAAGAATCTAGTATTTTATTTACATCATTATTTTGCAGCACATCATATTTTGTTCTAGCACTTCTTAATTTTAACTTGTTCAAAGTATGTCCAAAATTGCAAACCCAAATTTTTCGTCTTCTTCAACAAGAGCCTTACAGTGAGACTAGGTTTTTGGTTCAGATAAAGCACAAGACGGGAGAAAAGCTTATAAGCGAGATCCTATCGTGTTTTCTTAGTATCGTTCGTGAAAGGCAATTGTAGATCAAATTAAATTATAACATTGCATAACTCAATCATCAGCCTACCAATCATCCCTACTTCATTATTTACGAAGAATCATCTAAGGAGCCAATATTAAAAAAGAATACTACATATGGGGTACAATAATAATGATAATAATAAATATTATGATAATTATGATTTCATTAATGATTATTTTCATCATAATTTAGTCTACTTATAACTCCTATAAATGTTTTCATGAGGAATTTGATGAACTTGATGATCAGTAATAAAGGAAATATAAACTAATAATACATTTAGTATTTAAGTCTGATAAATTATATATCATAACAAAGAAATAATCGCAAATTGTTAAGTACTTTCTTGTACTGCAGGAATGAAGGAATTATGTTCAAAATAAAGGAAGTGTTTTTAATTCGAAAATGGAAAGAAACGCCAGTCGAATATTGCACCTTTCAGTGAGGATAAGAGATCACAGATTAGATGCTACAGGCTGGAAAGAGGGAAATGCATGCATGCCGTGGCATGTCGATTGTCTCGAAATCGGAAGAATGATTTTTTCCGCTGCAAAGCTACATACAATAACCTAGCATGACTCTGCCTCACTCTGTTGACAGTGTATTGTCTTCTTTAGCTTAATTTGCATTAACACTCTTTATTTGTTCTAAAGCAAGCAAGGGACATGGAATTGATTGATGTTCTTTTTATGTTTTTACAGTGTGTTGCCCGTTTTACTATAAATTTTCTGTCTCCGTCACAGTAGTTTCTGAATTTTCGTGAACTCCGACATTTCCGTTATTCCAATATTTTTTCTTTAAATACCGAATTTTTCTCTATTTCGAAATGTTTTTCTAATTTATTTTTGTAAAGAATGTTTCCTGTTGATAAAAATGTGAAATATTTATGTTTCAAGCGTGTTATCCCTTACGTTATCTCTCTTCTTTTTTTAAAGGGGCAAGTGATTATTTAATAAAGACGATATGTTCTAATACTTTCAATTCCTCTCGTAACATACAAATTGCCTTAAATATAAGTCACACTATTTGCAATTAAGAAATTCGGTATATAATAAAGTCAGTCTCTGCGCAGATAGCGTTTGCACATATTTTAATTACATTATATGGCTTAAGTAAATACGGGAAAGAAGTGAAAAACAATTGAGAAAGATAAATAGTTTTCACCAAAGTATTATACAATAGTATTTAATACTTTACGAATATCGCTCAGCTGAAACTGATTTCGTTGCTAATGTATTCGATTCATATCAAAACCATTTTGAATAACTCATCATCCTCACTCCTTCAGAAACATTCAAACATACAGGCCTAATTTTAACATTAATCTCTCACACAGACACCATGAATCTGAATCATCTGAATTTCGTCTATTTACAATTCGCATCGCTATTTATCACTCGAACTCAAATCTATAATTCTAAGCCGCGATATTTAATACCCAGAGTCATCATCCAGCACACACGACGCTCAGTTCACATATTTGCTCGGAGCATGCCTGCCAGTATTCGCGTGCGAACCGGATGCCGGGATGTTTCCTGGGGATGCCCAGGACGTCCCTCTGGAGCTGGCGCGGTGGGCGACACACTCGGCGGCGGCGGCGGCGGCGGCGGGACCCGCGGAATATCCGCGCTGACGTCAGCGGGTGCGCGGCGTGCGCGTATAAGAGGGGGCGTCGCGACGCCGGGCCAGTCAGATTCCATGATGAGAGCGCCGGTGGCAGTGGTGTGCGTGGCGCTTCTGGCGGCGGCGACCGCCGCGACGCGGCCCTTTGTGCTCACAGCCGACGACCTGCAGCACGCGCTACAGCACGGTGAGTTGGTTTCACTAATGCCAACGAAGAGGGAATGTGGCATGTTAAGAGGAATAATAATACTTCAGTAATTATGTTTAATCTGAGTTTATTACTTTACACTAAAAGTCGGGTAGAGAGAAATCTGGCGGAGGAGACAATAGTAGATAGAGCGATTATCGTGTCTCAGTGGCACTATAGAGCAGGGTAGCACATGTACGATCACTGTAGTGACCTATCAGTGACTATAGTATTGCAGTGACCGTTTATTTGATTTAACGGAATTACAAAATTATATTTTTGAATTTTTGTGTGAGTTTTAAAATTCATATAAATGTTTGTTGAATATTTGTACAGTTATCACTTGAATTTTCAATTATTTAAAATGTAAATTAATTGTTGTGCTTGACTTTTTATTGAACTCTATATATTTGAAAGTTTGGTTTCTCTTATAAAAAATACTTCTGAGTATAAATGGTAGCCTAATGCTATTTATAAAGACAAAAGACAATGTATTATACTAGTCATGATAAAGTTGACTGTACTTCATCTTAATGATTCTTCAGTAAAATCACTTTTTACTTTTCAAATGCTTCTCAAAATTCGACGAACGTGTTGTATTGCAAACAAATTCTACATTAAAGTTAATTTTGCTCTTAGATGAATTTGATTTGAAGTAGAACTTATTACAAGAATGCGGATTATTTCTCCCTGATTATAAGAAAGAATTTGAGTTTTAAAGGCGTTCAAATTCTGCCTGAAAAGTATCTCATGTGATTCAATTACTTCGTACATTTTGAAAACTTTAGTTGCTTTTGTAAGAAGACTTCCGATAACGTTTTACCAAAAATATCAATAAGTCCTATTTTGCTGAGCATTTATTCATTTCATTTGATAATTGAACAAAATTACATAGAATATTTTCATTAAAGTCATGAAGAGATTTTCAAGCAGAACTATTGTACTGAAAGGCATAAATTCTTTTTTTGTCGATGGGATTCTGAATTGTGTCCATTAGAATTTCTAATCAGAAATTATATTTATTTAAAACCCGAATGACAATATAACTTACTTTTGCTAAAATGTTTGTGAATATAACACAACTGTTACAAGTAAATATAACTGAAGCATTCAATTCATATTTTATTATCTTTTAATTTCAAGAATGCCGGCAATAACGGTTGTTTAACAAACATTTAAATTTAGAAAAAAATGGTAGTTTAGACTATCTAATTAGAATTTTTAATTATATAATTTAAACTAGTAGTTACTACTAAATATCTAATTAGAATAAAAACAATAGCGTAATGGTTGTGACATACATATTTTGAAGACGCCTGCTGGTGTACATTTTATTTATTTTTTACTTAATGATTTAGAAAAAAAATGTAACTCTCGGAAGAGTAAACCTACATTTCGCGCTCAGAAGGAAAAAAAAATTCGTATTGAATCTAAGGAAAATTTTTAAATGATCATCTGTCGCAAATTAAAAAGTAGGTAAACACTTTATTTAGTTTTTATCTTTTATTCAGTTTATAACGGGAAAAATGTGTTGCCTGTTGTTGGCAGACAATCTAAATTCCGTTCCCAGAATCAAAGCAAAGAGCCTTGCTAGCATTTTCTAATTGAATATAGGGACACATTGCAAGCGTTAATTAGTCGCACACTAACACTAGTATGCTCGAAAACATTTTATTTATTATTCATTTATATTTATATTAATTATTTATATTATTAATATTTGAAAGAAAGAAAATATGGCGCTCGGAGCAGAAACGCCCCATATCGGGCCCAGAAGCATTTTCAGTCTTTGCCCGTTGTATTATAGGAGCACCCAGAGAAGAGGGGACCACTGGGTCCCTTATTTCAAACGAAAATTCCATCCTCCAATTCATAAACAGATTTTATTGAGCCATGCAACAGGAATAACTTATAGTCGTTAATTTGAAGTAGAAATAAATCGAGGTCAAAGAAATTAGAAAACAAACAACTACGAGAAAGTCTGTGCCACCACTAGTTTTATTTGCTTTGAATAAAACAAAATGTTGAGGCCCAATTAAGTCCCCCCCTGTGTGTGGTTGCCAATGTTCATCAGTGGCGCAGCAGGAAACAACGGGTGATGAGCAAAGGTTGGGAGAATGTCCCAGCGGGTGGGCGGGGGGGGGGGTGCGCGGGCGTCAGCGCGTGCAATGGGACGCACCTGCGACCGCCGCAAGGTCGCTTTCCACCCAGGCCTTGTCCTTCCCGCGCCTCTCGGGCGCCCTGCCGCGCCGCGCCCCCACCTCCGCCGTTGCATAACCCTCAATCTGCTTGCAGTGCTAGTGCATTACCGGTGCGTGCCCAGTCATTTCTTGCCGCATTTGAGCCCGCCTGTGAAGTATGTAAACAAGTTGCGTCATTGCACTTCTCGTGTGAGTAAGGGGGTTGATGTTTGTAATCGGGCGCTGGAGATGCGACTTGCACGCGTATTCCCTTTATTTTTGTAAACATTATTAACTGTACATTTCTCGTAGAGGCATAAAAGAATTCGATACTTACACATTTAAAAAAAGTCAATTCTTGTCTACAAATCTCTCATTCGTAAGCGATTAGTGTCAACCGTATACTTACATTTTCCATTCACGATGTACATATCTCAAAAACATGAAAATTTGCTCATAGCATCTTTACTTCATCGTGTAAAAGAATTCTCTCAATATTCAGAACTTTATTTCATATTATTTCCAAATCTCTCGAATGAAATCGATGTAAACATCAAACATTCGCTTTTTTCTATCAGGCGATTGTGAGTCGTCTTCAGTACTTATTCATGAATACGCAAATAAATATTTCCTGAAAAGAATTAAAGAGTTGGGGTGATGCGTTATTCTATTTAAATTTGGAAATGCAATCTTCAAAGTAAAAAATTTTGAAAGAAGAGATGAAGTGGTAATTATTTACCATCAAAAGGAATTCTAAATTGTATTTCCTTTCATATTAATTTCAAAATAAATTATTCTCAAAAGAATCAATATTTTACTTGAGCTATTTAAAGATGTTCATTTATAATCGCTAAAGGATTCCTTTTTAGAACGAGAAAAGTTGGGAATCAAGTTTCTTCATTTAGGCAAAGATGGATTTAGTTTATTAATACATTTCGGACTTTCTAACCTTTACATTTTTATTTCACGAATACAAGCGTGATTAATTTGCAAGAGCTTCATCCTGAGTAATAATCGTGCAAGAGATTCTACAATAGAAGCTTCATAGAATGAGACGTGCTAGGCTCGACCCATGGTCCGACGACGCCACTTCCTAGTTGTGGCTGGCAGCTCGGCTCTGCTCTGATATGTTGATTCCGGGGATACCGAAGCAGGACGGCCTCGAAATTAAACAGCCACGAACCGCGCGTAATCATCTTTCATTCACGCTTCTCCCATCCCTTTTATTAGGGTGTGCCAATGAGGTAATCCACCTTGAATGACTCCCTGAGAGTATGTTGGTGTGAGTCCAAAGCCGGACGTAGACTGCAGTTCCATCGAAGGGACAGGCAGACAGTCATTGAAAGACTGATGTATACAGAGAAAGAGAGAGAGAGGAGAGAGGTGGAGGAGGAGAGAGAAAGAAAGAGAATTCAAATGTGCTATAACGTTTTTGACGATAAAAAAAATTGTATTTTCCCATTTCTTCTAAATTGAATATTTATGAGGACAAGAAAACACGAGATGTTTCTTATTTTCAAGACGCCACATGCTTGTTCTTGCCGGGTATATCGCGTGACACGAGCGCGAATGTCCTCAGCTAGGCTGCAAGTCGTGGCTGCGGCGGTGCATCTCCTGCCCGCGGCGTCGCACGTCCACTGTTACGTCACGGCCCCTGGGCGCTTGGCTCCTGCCCAGCGGCCGTGACCGCGTGGACGAGGCGGGGCGGGGCGGGGCGGGACGGAGACGGAGGAGGGCCATGGCAGTTGCCGGGGAAACACGGCGGGTCACCGGGTCACGGCGGACACGCGATACAATCTCGCAGCCATGCGTTGCCGCATTAACTACGCAAAGCGCAGATTATTTACATCCCGGGAATGGTCAGTGATTGCAGGTGTCTTGTCCGAACGAACAGGTATGGATATGCTGCGGGTGGACACGGTTAATCGAAATGTTGGGGTCTTTACGTCAGGGTCACGCCACTTGCCTGACGAAAACAACTTCCAACTTTTTTTTCACGATTATGAAAACACCTGCTTGCACGGATAGTCTATACGCACAGCTTTGTTTTCGATGGTATCACTACAAATGAAAATGGATTCAAGGAATCATGACTGCGATTCAATAGGTGAAATTGATACTGCTGAGCTGAGAAACTACTTGAGATTTCTCTTAGTATCAGACAGAATGAAATATATCGAAGACAAATCAACCACATCTTCATAAATGAGTATTGCTACGCTTTGAGAGAAATAGATTACAGCTTCACCGAAACGTTTTCTGATAAAATTTCATTCTGCACAAAACTTGATTTTTTTTTTTTTTCTTTTTTTCAACAACTTGGTCATATTGCAACCGCTGTGAATTTTTAACTGTAGGGTAACTGTGGGTAGAATACGTAAGGCCAACATAAACACACAGAAACATTCATGTCCGAGGCGGTATTCAAACCCGCGACCTTTCACGCTGAGGCAGTTACACGACCCTTCAGTCTTAGCGACCTCGGTTATACAGGTCGGCTTGTAAAAATTCGTTGCCTTTCGCTGTACGTTGCAATTCACAGAAGTTTGTTTTCACTAGTTGGAACTAGTTCTTTGCAGCCCTAGGAGCGGAAAGCCTACACAATATCTGGCAGTAAAAACAAGTGTTCCGCCTGGCCGAGGCCTCCCACCGCGGTTCCGGGGGATCGTGTCTGAACCATGCGCTGAACCGATGCTCTCAGTGCCGGCGAGTGCGTTTTTTGGAGTCGCACTCCGGCGGGCGCGATCGGAAAGCGCGCACAGGAAACGCGTGTGTTTCTCGCGTGTCGGGCCCCTTTGTTTACAGAAGCGCGCAAGCTAATAGCATTAGCGCAGACGTTACACCTCACGGTACACCTCCTCGCAGCGGTCAATCCCCCTGGCTCTTCCACGGAAAAAGCTCAGTTCCTCCAATCAACGAGTGTTTACAGGATGACATTGGGCATGTAATTGCGCTAGTTACATTTCCGAGAAATGCTTCTGCGGCCGTATTTTTTCAGTAGTTCAGTGAGCGTCGAGAAAGTAAAAGTTATTTTGAAGTAAATTGATATTTATGCAATCTACTTCAAGATAATGGTTGTATTGTATTCCTTTTACGTTTTGTTACAATGAATAAGTTCAAGTGTACATTAAGTATTTCTCATATCCAGTCATAAAAAAGGAAATAATGCCTATCTTGATATAGTTCAACACATATTTGCAAAATATTATCTAAAAATATGGCTGCCGATGTGTGATTGTAATCCATTAATAGCTCAAGCCACTAATATGAATTTCACGCATTAATACTGTTATTTCTGTTTTTGCCTTATAAAAATGGGTTTTTGTAGCGTTCTCCTTTAGCTCAGAATACCATTATTATTTCCACTGTAGATTACTATTATTTGCTCTTTAGTCCAAACGCAAACTGTTTTTTGACGTGGGGGTTCGATATTACGCTCTTTAACAGCTGAGCCAAGGAATGCGGAAATGTTGAGAAGGAAAACGAGTTCATCTCTTTGCTCGCTTTGCCGCCGAAACTTCGACAACTTGGTTTGCCCGCATTATTGGTTGTGACTGTGTCACGACTAGAGGTTTTATCATTTAACTCCCATGTGGAGGATCGTGTGTGATCTCTTACAAAGAGGAAATAAGCATGAAGTTTAATTATGAGCGTGTACATTTTAATATATGTTGACTTGTAACAATTGTAGACGATGTTCATCTGTTCATAATTTAATAAAGTTTTTACATTCTTCAAGACGAAAATAAACTGATACAAGTTGGTAATTTTCGTAAATATTTGTGTTTGATCAATGAACTATAGAAAAAAAACTTTAAAAAATAAAACAATGTGTTTGCAATGTTCACGATATATTGCTTGGGTAACATTTTTTCAACGAAACACTTAAATACACGTACAAAAAAAAAGACGTGAAGAAATTTCTGATCATGTAAACAACCAATCCATCTTAAATATGTTGTGTTCTTTTGTTCTTGTCATTATGTTTTCAATGTATTCTACAAAATTCTGACTAAAACAAGAAAATTTTAATTCTGTCACAAAACATCGTACTTTTCTTCAATGACACAGTTTTTAAAATATTCTTAATTGCCTTTACTATTTATTGAGAATTGTATTTGAGTTGACATTGGTTTATATGAAGTTAACATGAAGTGTATACCCATAGTTGTATTCATGGAGCTCGATCTTCTCTTCTTGATCCCGGAACTTCAAAGGGGTAAATGTTTATGACTTTCCTTGAAAACCTCTTCCTGGACAAGTCATCATTAGCTGATGTCCTCTTCTTTAATGGACGGATTTTGTAGATGTTAATGTGTTGACACGGATAATTTATTGCTGTATTACAATTTCTTGTGATACTGTGATAATTACATTAAACAATGAAAAATAGGAATAGATACATCATTACGCAAATGCCTGTGAATCATATGTTACGAAAACTTGTTTCTAACTCCTTATAAGATGTTTATTACTAGTGTACACAAGGGTAATGAATAATAACTTGACGTGAGTCTGACAGATTCAGTTCAGCATGGAACTGTATTCACAGCACCCTAGCCGACTGACGTAGTTGTTAAAATTGTGTATATGGAATGGTAAAAAACTTAAGTACAGCAATAACTTCTTACAACAGGGAAACATGAATTTTCGTAGACTGAAGTCCGTGTTTACAGTATGAGGTAGCCTATTCATAAATGTATTGACAAAAACTAAACGTAAAAAATTGCATCGAAGGACGCCTACTTTGTTATAACGCAAGAACAAAAGGGGGAAAAATGTACATTCTTTTTTGAAATAGGTTTGAGTCATCACTATTCTTAGTCGAATTTATAGCCACCTAGTCTTCATCTACATTATCAATTATCGACATAAAAAGTATTGCTTTTGGCTAGACAATTCATCCCTTACTGACAAAACAGGGAAAAACAATACAAAGTTTTACATTTAAAATTTAACAAACAAAACTGATGATACTTAAAGAAAAGTTTTTAATAAACGCGTATCGATCATAAGGTTTTTTGGTATTGCCATAAGATTATAAAATGCGGCCCCAACAGATTTAAAATATATCCCGCATTTCCTAGAATCTCAAGCTCCATCAGTTACAGAGATATTGTTGTAAGAAGGGACCGTTTTGATAACTACTGCCTGGCCGCTGCTGGCACTATAACAGCAAAATATGTCCATGCAATCATTTTGTTAGTGCGTTCGTTTACATTTAGCTCATTTCTAAGTGGCTTCATCACTACCTCTTGCAATGTCATCGCCCTGCATGCATTCATTTGTTTCCCCATCTGTGGCAAAGTGGTCCATTCGCAGAGTAACTCCTCAATGATAGAGATAACCAACGATCGTTTAATTTCCTCTAAACGGAAAGTCAGCTTTTCGTCGGCAAACGGAGACAGTTTGCGTTTTCATAAACCAAACACCGCCTACCAGCTTCATGTAAATGCTCTTGTGTGTTTGCAGGTCGTGTTCGGCGCGGGTTGATCGGCAGCTTCTTGGGCAAGCTGGCCGGCGGCGGGAGCGGCTCCAACGCCAACTCAGGCTCCTTTAGCATCGGCGGCTCCCTCCCCTTCGGCATCTCCGGCGGCATCTCCACGTCGCACTCCAACGCCCACGCTGGCGGCGGCGGCGGCGGTGGCGGAAGCGCCAGCGCTAACGCTAACTCCAACGCCGCCGGCTTCGGCGGCGGAGGCGGAGGCCCGGGCTTCGGCTACGGGCCGGGTTACGGCTACAACGGCGGCGGTGGCGGCGGCGCTAATGCCGGCGCTAGCGCCAACGCCAACGCCAACGCGGTGGGAGGCGGAGGTGGCGGCGGCTACCAGCCGGGCTTCGTGGGCGGCGGCGGCGGCGGCGGTTTAGTGGGCGGAGGAGGCCAAGGCGGCGGCGGCGGCGGCGGCTACGGAGGCGGAAACGTTGGCGTCGGCGGAGGTGCTCCCATTATCGTGGTCGTCCCGGCCAAAGGGCCCCCGCCTCACGGGCACGCCCACGGCCACTGGAAGAAGCCTCACCACGGAGGATTCGAAGGCCAAGGAGGGTTCGGAGGGCAAGGAGGATACGGAGGAGGCGGCGGTGGCAACTTCGGACTCCACGGCGGTGGTGGCGGCGGCGGCGGAGGTGGTGCAGGCGCCGGCGCCAACAGCCAGGCTTCTGCGAGTGCCAACGCCAACGCCAACGGTGGCGGTCTCGTCGGAGGCGGCGGCGGCGGATACAACGGTGGTGGTGGCAATGGACAATTCGGCGCCGGCGGTGGAGGCGGTGGTTTAGGCGGCGGCGCCAACTTCGGCGCTGGAGGTGGTGGTCATGGCGGCCACGGAGGTGGTGGAGGTGGCAACCTGGCGTTCGGAGGCGCCGGAGGTGGCGGCGGCGGTGGTGGAGGCTACGGCGGCTCAGGAAGCAAAGCCAGC